ACATGCCAGTCTCTGGACACAAGTATACACTGTACTGCACAGACTTATGTGAGAGGAGACTGTTAAAAGCACAGTCCTCTTCTCATGATGTGGTTGTCTCCTGACTGTTTCCTTGTGTAGTAACTGAAGCCATAATTTTAGAAGATGTAATATTTTCAAGATTTGGTTTGCTCTAAAGCCCATGGCTACAAATAGTACATGGACAAATAAATAATAATGGCTACAGCATAGAAACACTGCTTGTGAAAGTGGGCTGTTTAAGTCATAAATCGAGGCATACGTGTACTGCGGACAACTGGTATGCTATCCTGAAAATCAGAATGTGAATCAACTTGCTCCTCCTCTCTGAATGCTGAACAGGAGTGACACTGCTAATCTGCTTTGTATTCCTGTGTTTCATAGAATCATAGAATAGTTTGAGGTGGAAGGGACTTTTAAAGGTCATCTAGACCAACCCCTTGCAATGAGCAGGGACATCTTCAACTAGATCAGGTTGCTCAGCGCTCTGTCCAACCTGACTTTGAATGTCTCCAGGGATGAGACATCCACCACCTCTCTGGGCAACCTGTGCCAGTGTCTCACCTTCCTCATTGTAAAAAACTTCTTTCTTATACTTTGTCTAAATCTACCCTCCTTTAATTTAAAACCATTAGCCCTTGTCCTATTGCTACAGGCATTGCTAAAGGGTTTGTCCCTGTCTTTCTTGTAAGACCCCTTGAAGTACTGAAAGGCCAGAATAAGGTTTCCCCGGAGCCTTTTCTTCTCCAGGCTGAACAACCCCAGTGCTCTCAGCCCATCCCCATAAGGAGAGGTATTCTATCCCTCTGAACTTAAAAAGGCATGGTGATGGTGTTCTTTGTGCTCCCTTGCAGAAGAGCTATCCTTTCCTTATCATGGAGGTAAACTTAGTGACATTTACAAATTTCACAGTCATTGTCTGACTGTATTATTTACTTCTGAGCCAAAATGAACTGTGGTCACTGAGGATCAATACAACATTGTTAGCTGGAAAATTTTTCTTAGTAGCAGGACATTTAGATTTATAACCAGAAATACTTGTGTCACAGACAAAAAAATTCCCTTTTTTGAAATGAGTGTACAGTTTCTCACAGTGCACTGCAGGAGTACCTGATTTGGTAGGGGCTGCAAGCACCAGGTATTCCTGCTTTGCTATGTAATGATGCCCCTTGTCTGCACCCCAAGGTGCACTGTTTCTTCCACCTAGAAATTCTGTTTAGGTTCTAATTGAAAAACTGAAATGTCAGCCTTAAAATGAGAAGTGGCAGCCACATTTTAGAAGGTTTTTAGGTAGTTACAGCCTCAAGTAGCTGCCTACAAAGATTTCTAAGAATATATCTGTGCTGAACATCTATTACTTTTAGCCATCTAAGAATTTTTTTTTTAAGTCTGTTTCTTTGGGAACCTTTTGAAGTTAAGTAAGGGTAGGTTTGAAGGAACAGTGGGAGTGTGAAAGGGGCCAAAATTCTAATTTGAAAACTGTGTTCTTAAACCCTTTTTGGGATTTTTCTGTATTGCACTTGCCCTTGCCCTTTCAGTTGATGGAATATGAAATAAGCCTGTATAATGCAAGTTACTCTGAGTGTTTCATTCATTTTTGCTGCAACTGCTACAAAGGGAAAAAACCCAAACCTTCACCTCAGAAAAAAAAGAAGTAAAGCCTTGAAAAATTGTATTTACAGTATTGGTTTCAAAGCCTTGCAGACAGCATCTCACAAAATACTTGCATCAAGTATTTCAGTAGTCTTTCAGTAAGAATTTAATGTGAAGTTATGCTGTAATTATAGATGCACACATCTTTGAATTCCATATTTAGAGACAAAGTTTGAATTTAAATGCATCTTTAAGGAGCATCTGAGATTTTGCCGAACAAGGTGGAGTTCTCTAGTGTAAAGGGATATTGTTTTCTGTTCCCTCCTGTCTCTTAAATAATGATGCAGAGGACACTGTCAGGCTATTATGGCATTTGGACTTTGTCTGCTGCCCTCATAATATTTACTAGTACAGATTTGTATCCATAATTTAGCTGATGATTCATTTGCCAGTACATAGGTGAATACTTCTAGCTCATTTGGCAGTATGTGTGTTGGCATAGCAGTCATCATGGAAGCAAAATGTATGTGTTTGTATTTGGATCTTGTGGCAGATGTGTAATACAAAAGAGCTGCTGCTTTGGCATGGGCACTTTCCTGGCTCTGCCCCCACTTTAAGTGTTCCCTTGTTATCATCTGTGATTGTGACTCATATTGATGTTTATCTGCATTTTCAGAATGAAAATAGCACCGTTCTGTTTTCCTTTTTTTTTTGTTCTTGTGATGTTTCAAAGATAGTGCAGCATCTTACAAACACAGTGGAAACAGAACTTTATAATACAGTTTTTCTCAACTGCGATATTGATTCCTAAAACAACTTGTAACCCATCTGTCTCCATTTGGTGGCTGAAAAGCAGGGATTTGCAATCAGGGTATTAGAATGTGCAGGTGGATCAACAGCTCTGTGGAGTCAAGTATGTTTAAATTATTATGTGTGGTAAGTAGTATATAGGGAACAGAAAGGTAACGATAAGAGAAAATACATACTTGCTCCCTTTTTTTATTTTTTTTTTGTGGGACTTGGAGCAAAAGTGGACTTAAGATGTGTATATAGTTTGCCCTCAAGTCAGGGTTTAACTAGTCTTATTTGGTAAGTTAATTTGCTGAATAAAATTCTGGCTTCTAAAGAAGCAGCAGTTTCTGTTCCTTTCACATTTACAGGACATTTTTCTAAAGAAATTTCAGCTAGCTTCCTTCATTTCTGCATTTTTGTTAATACTAGAGCTACAGCATCAAATTGGAATGCTGTGTTTCAGTTTTGCTAGTCTTCTCCCGTTCTGCAGGCAGAGGAGAACAAAGACATGAAAAGGTCTGAAGATACAAGGGGCTGGAAGGGAGAGGAAGCAGCAGTAACTTCACTGCTTGTTTGCCTTTACGTCACACAAATGTGGCCATGCAAACACCACACATTAAACAAACACAGTAAAAATTGCTAAAATAGAACTTGATAATGGGGATATTGAACTGTCTTTGTAAGTTGAATTCTGGCTGTGGTTAATTAGGTAAATGTGCCGCTCCAACCATGTTATTTTGCGTGCCTCATTATTAAATGAAGGGAAAATGTAGGATGAAATCAAACTATTGCGTCTTTACTTGCTGGAGCATTTATTTCCCCTTGTCCATACGTACACTGCGAGAACACAAAGCATAACAAATAGTGTTTGCATTTAGTTCTGAATACAGTGAGGTCCATGATCACTCTTCTCTCTATGAAAGCAAGCTTCAAAGCCTGTCTGGCTGCCCAGACTTTGCATTTCTGCACATGTGATGGATGGGTTCGTTGTTCTAATGAAGCATGGCTGTTGTTGGAGGTCATGGTCACAGGAGAGAGGCAATCCATCTTAAATGAGGGGCAATTCTAGAGGCCTTGAATGCCAAGGCAGAGATGTAGCATTTCATTTTTTTATTTGATAAAGAGGGCCAGTGCAGAGACACTATCTTGTTTTACAGATTTTTTTTAATTATGAAGAGGGTGGGAGCTGTATCTGGTACAAACATTAACCATTTTAGATATTTTGGCTTAGTTCCCAAGTGTAATGAGTCTGGAGGTTGCAAATGTGTATATTTCTATGGCCAGATCGCTGATGAGATGGGGAAATCAAACCTCTGGCCATGCACAGATGCTGTTAGACTTGCCTGTCTGAGCATCCATCCTTAGGAACTGAGGTCTCACAGGCTGCATGCTAACAAGCAGGCAGTGTCTGTAATCAAGGGGAACATTATGGCCTGGGGAAATTCTTCAGAGCAATTCCCATCAATACAGATAGTAGGTGTGTATTTTAAGTACCTCTGATGATTAGGAGCTTGTTTTAGGGGTCAGTCTGAAGGTGGATCTTCTTATGGACCAGGCAGATTCTGTTACATGAATTCCCTCCTTTCTGTTTTCTAGGCTGCTTATAGATGTTGGCTGTGATAAGGGTAACCGAGTCCTTGTCAACTGAGCCCAGGTCAAGAAACAGCAAATTAAGAATAACAGCCTTTCTTCATTGCATTAGTCATAGTTGGACTAGTGTACCAGGGATGTACAACTACACACATTACACATCTGTTTTGGTTTTTAAGATCTAAAAATGAGATTGTTCTCTCATGGTGGATTTATTCAGTATTTTAATTAATTTGCCTAAAGACTATGTCTGAATACTGTGTATGTGGCTGATGTCTGTTTGAGAAGAACATAAAACACTTTCTCTAAGTGTGAAGAATGCTAATTATCTTTTTCCCCTTTGCTTCTACTCTTGGGCCTGTGGGAGACAGATGTTACTTAGCAGAGGGAGGGATGAACATCACTTCTTCTGGGCTCAGAAGAAGTTAAAACGTGAAATGCATCTGCTGTGCTTCATTGACATGTCTGTTCCTGGATTTGTTCTTTGAATAAACTTCTCTGAAAGGTGGCAGGAATCACCAGCTCTGTCAGGACAGAATCAAAACGAGGAAAGAGCTGTGTGTTCACCAGAAAATTGGAAATTCAACTCATGCTTTGGCTTTGAAAACCAGAAAATATTGTATTCACTGAACTCAGCGTTCAGGAGTAAAATATGTAATGTGATCACAATTTTCTCTTTCTTGCACTTGTTTCATTTATTTAAGCTTTATTTAGTTTGGCAGTTTCAAGCTAAACAGATACAGATTGAAGTATCTAAGGTAATGCAAGTGCAGGACTGTAGTTAAAAATATGCTTCCTTTTTGAGTTTAAAAGTTTGGCTGTTGACCTCTCTTTTTAGCCCAGTTCTTGTGCTGTGTTTATCATTCTGGTATCTGAACAAATGGCACATAAACTGATTTAGAGGAGAGGAGGGTTTGCATGTATCAATATTTAGTATATTTTAAGATTTCTTTTAAAAAATAATTTTAACAGCAACCATTTTTGCTGTATTTTTGTTTGTCTTTCAGGTTGATCCAGCTTTGAAAGAAAAATTGAAACAGAACACTGTGACACTGGAATCTGAATATGAGGTAAAATAAATTTGTTGCTTGGGGCTCATAACCTTGGGTACCCTTGAATACCCTGGCCGCTGGTGGGTTGTATCTGTCCCTAACTAAAATTAGATCAGCCATCTGCCTTTAACTCACTGATGTCCAATAAAAACAAGGTTTTTGTGTAAAGAAAGGTTTTTGAACACATAATGCTTCTTTCTGAACACAGCTTCACTTTGATGTCCAGTGCAGTGGTACAAATAAATTCCACTCCTTCTGTGGTTAACCTAGTTTATAAATGTAGAGCTGATGTTGGCCTTAGAATGTGTGTGCACATATGTCAACACTTCTGCTGTATGAGTTTTGATGATCTTTAGACCAAATTACAGAGCAATGTGCATGATATGCTTTCTGTTATTTCTTGCTTCTGAAATTTGTGTGCATCTTTCAAACAACTGTCATTCTTTTCACATGGTTTCAGAAAATTTTATAGAGAAAGATTTCACTCAAGTTTCCTTAACACTGCATTTTCTTTGAACATTACTGACCTCCAAGATGTCTGTTCTGACCAGTTTAATATCCAGAGTTTCATAAATCTTCAGGTCTACAAAAAGCCATGTTAGAAAAACTGGAAAAAACCCTCCCTTGAACCAGAAACAAAGGATAAAGCTATTTAAGATAATTTTTAATGTTTTAAAATGAATTGAATCAAATGTCCTGCTAACACTTTATCTATCTCTATGGTCCTTTTGCTGAACACAGGTTTTTGTTTTCTTCCCATACCACATTCCTGTGACAAGCCTTTGAAGATCTTGATAGCACCCATTGTTCTCATACTTAGGTCTCCAGAGGACAGAACATGGTCTTGATAATAAAACGTTACTATCATATTACTCTTCTGTGATTTCTGTATTTTTGCATGCCTAATTTCACAAAATATCTGTATACTTGCTAGTTTTTACCATTATTGCAAACACTTTTGGGCTGTCCCCCTGCTATGAAGAACTACGGTTTGTGGTGTAGGGAATAAAAAGATGGAAAGTTCGAATGGAGACTCAAAACTTACAGATCCGTTAGGTTCTGATTGCCTCTGGGATTATTGTGTCTCTCACTTTCCATTCAATATACTGTAAGGCTGCTCTGATTTATTTATGTGGAACAAAAAGTAAAAAGAACCACAAGCAGCAAAAAGAACCAGATCTCAAACTCAATACCTAACCTCAAAATCAACCGATCTGTATTCAGATATGCCTTACTTTCTCTTCAGAAGATAAGTAAATAGTTGAAGGATAATATTTAAATAGCCATAATTGCATTAGCTTTATGGATAAATCAATGGTAATAAAATACATCTGACATAACAATATATTATAAGCCTACTTGGATAATGAGGCTCCTTTCTGATGCACAGAAATGAGAGAAGGAATCTTGTTTTTTTCTTAATCTAAACTGCAGAGAGTTCCCAGACCAAGATTCTTCCAGAGTAGTGCTTGGGTGTTATAGAGGGCAGACAAGTTCAACAAATCAAATGGATTTGCATTTCCCCATAATGAAAATAGATTTGGATTATTGTTTTGAACTCTAATATCAATATATACTATAGGAACCAACTTGCAAGCACTACGCATATTAATTTCTATCTTCAGTGAGACTTGTGAAACTACCAGCAGTCCTGCACATGCTTCACCGTTCCACTCTGTGTGACAATTTTAAGTCAATGTTACCTCTGTGTTCTGGTGGACAGAATCTAACCAATCACTGAGTTACAGCTGACATTTAGGAGAGTAGTTTCTTGTGGACCCTGTCTGTTCCAGACTAGGGGATTTTTGGGTGGACTTTTTTCCTTTCTGTATTTTTCTGACTTGTCCAAAATACGCTTAAGAACATCTTCTAATTCAATATCTAGCTCACACTGAAGGATTACATGGGTGGCTGTTACTAAATATGGTGTGATAAGAGATCAAGGGCAGTTAAAAAAAGTTCCTGTTTTGATATGTAAAGCTTTATTTTAAAATATTATTAGCATTATATATGCAGCTGTTACTGAGGATACCACACTTTTGAATCATGATTGCCTGATACATGCAAATGTCCTTTGGCTCTCCCTAAGACTTTTAAAAATACCTTACAGAAATGTACAAGTAGCGTGCTTGTAGCAAATATGGGTAGAGTCCTTCCCAAATCTTCGTTCACGAAGCCCAGCCGTGATGATGATGATGATGACAGAAATGTACATATTGAATACATACTGAATTCCTCTAGGATGTCATAATTTCTTTTATAAGCATACATATGCCCTTATGGATGTATTGCAAAAGATAAAGACATTTCTAGTATTTTAGATATGTTGAAGTATGCTTTTTGTCTCCAGTGGGGGGGTGGTGATGTAAAAAGTTGTAATGACAGACTTAATCAATTTACTGTGAAGAAATTGATTAAGACATTTTCTTACCTTCTAGTTTACTAAATTATCTCTTCTCAAGCTATACAAATTTTACTTTATTTCATGCAGGAGTGTTTCTGGTCAGGATACTATTTTGAGGAAGGAAGAATTTACATGTGTAATTCATGCTGCATTTCTTATATCTCAGATCTGTTAATAATGCCATTTATCTTGTGCCTTGGGATATGCCAGAGGAGCAAGCTACCTTTGCATGCATTCTCCATTGTTTATGCATTCCTCTCACACACTTATGTGTTCTCGTGTGACCAATTAGTCCTTGCTCTTCCCCTTTGCCTAATAAATCATGGTTCTGTCCACTAGTGACACTGGTACTAATGTGATTGCAGTTCTGCTGCTGAGCTGGGGCCTTGTAGAACACACTGAAAAAATGTCAAGTGTTTGACCTGTGACAAAAGGATAGAGTATTTTATTTGAAAGCACAAAAATACAGTTTGAAAAAGGGAGACAAATAAACTGATTGAGTTGAAAACATTCTTGTAGTTGTTCAACAATCACAGTACATTCCTGTTCATTGGTTTAATGCAGTCTCAAAATAACATTCCTTATCCTAGCACTTGGTTGCTGTACTTCTGTGAAATTAATGGTTTAATACACACTAGAAAATATGGCCTCAGTTACATCTGACCCCAAAATATAGAATTGTTGTTAAAGGGTTTTCTAGCAAATAAAACCATCCTTATGAATTTATTAACCTTTTACAATGGGAAAATCCTTTAAGTTTGAATCAAATACATGATATCCAATGGGAACCAATAGCAAGTGAAAGAGGAAAAAATATCACAATAAATAAAAATGTGAGGGATTGCTATGGAAACAGTAAATGAGAAGTTATAAAGCAGAGAAGGTTGACACAAGATGCTAAGGGCATCAGAGCTGTCTGATAAGTAAGCTGACAAGGGTATGGGTAAGAGGATGGTGTTGCAGCAAACCATAAAGAATAAAATAATGAGGATGTGAAATCATGAGTAACTCTGTTGGCAAAGTAGCAACAGTGAAGAAATATATCTGTATTTTTTTTAATAGAAAAAAGTCCTTTGTATTTGAATCAGATGTACTTCCAAACTCCTTAATAACCAAACAAGACGTTATTTAATATCTACTAGACTCTCATGGTTTATAGGTGAGTTCCAAGAATATGCTTGGAAGACTTCAGTGGCTGCTGAAAATTTCAGTCTGGGATTGATGGTTCTCTGGGAATCATTATTGGGTGGGAAGGTGATACTATGAAGTGTTCTGTGAGATTTGAGGTGTATCTAGGCAATATTGAGTACTTTTTTCAGTATAAAGATATTACAGAAATTGTAAAGTCCTTACTAACGTGCAAGTGATACGAAAGTATTGCAATAGTATATGTATAACAAGGCAGGGACAGAGAGCTGTTCATGTTACTTGGTAAGCTGGGCCCATTAAATGTGCAAAGTACCTTTTAAAGTTGCCAAAGCTATGTATTTTTCAGGCCAGATTGGACTGTGTTATGGAAAGCAGCAACTCTGGAAAAGACTTAGGTGTCAGTGACTAAATAATTCAGCTTGATCTTCTACTGTGATATTCAGTGTATGAATATAAAGAGGAATGGTAGATGTAGGAACAGGTGATTTTACTTCTGAGTGTGGCACTGATGAAGCTGAAACTTTTGGTATCCATATTTTGAACAAGGGTTTACGAATCGATTAGTTTGCAGAACAGGCTGACTGTATTAACTTAGGGCTAGAGAAAAGGCCTTGAAAGAAACTTAAAGATTTAAGTACTTTTAAAAATACCAAAAAGAATGTTGCTTACTTATAAATACATTCATAAGGAGAAAGTGATAGCTACTGAAGATTTTTTTATTGCAGAAATGATACTAAAATTAGAAGTAAGGTCCATTATTGATAGATGGGAACATTATTTGAACACAACAGCTAGGAAAATGGGTCCTCTGTCTTTCAGAATATCAAAACTGTAAAACTTTTTAAAGTTTTCCTTCAACTAGTTGCAAGCTATTGGACTCAGTATGACATAATTCATTGTGAATGGTCATACCAAAGAATGCTGCTTTCTTGACTAAGTGCATAAACGTCGATCAGGTTTTGTTCCTTATAATTTGATAATCACAAAAGTTCAACATCAGATCTGGACAGAAGTTTTGTAATCATTCGTCCTGCGAATTACAGCAAAAGTACTGTAATTGCAGTGTTAAAATATACGTTGAGGACAGTTCAAAAATTAAAAGCAGGTATATGGAGAGGTTTCTTGTGAATATAACCTCTTTATTTACTGTCTTAAAAGAAGAATTTGAATAGACCTTACTTAAAAAGATTCAAGCCACTTAATGCTCATTTGACTTCAGGCATTCTGGTGCCAGTAGAACGGAGGAAATTTCAGGAAATTGACAGTGTAATAACATGGTAATTTTTGTTATCAAATAGATGCGTCCAAGTGTGTGGACATCGGGAGTACTCTAGAAAGAAAGTAATTCCTGAATGTCAGTAGGTGAAATTTGCAACTGTCTTATTGTTATCGTTATCAGTAATTGAGGATTACTGATTTTGTTGTTAAGAATTAACAGATTAGTGTATTGAATTGATTTACTTCA